AGTTCCCTTTTACTGCTCCTTATTTTTAAAGTTGATAAGGGGAATGACTTGCTTACCCACATGATATCTTTTATCAAAAACATCTCCTTGATTGCAAGGCAAGAGTTGACTTAGACTCTAGTCTACTAGTAGTTTCCTAAATTAGCCTACTGCGCGAGTTCACGCATTGTCATAAAGTGAATTTTTGTCAAAAAGTATCACATACAGAATAATAATAAAATATATGGTTACTTGATTTTCTTTCATCTATAAGATTTTTGGAATAGTAGATCCATTTCTGGTAAGAAAAATTCAACTTACAGCGCTGAATGTATCTAGTTCAGATTTAATCATCTCAAAAACAATCGAGATTTGTTTACCTAATTTGCATATGCATAGTAAAATAGTTCAAGAAATTTGATTGGGCAGCTCCTTATTGTTCTCAAAACTTTGAACAAATCAAATTTTCTGTTTTTGATGCGCCAAGTCATTTCTGACAACGTTTGCCCTAATTCACCGTGATCACATGGTTGTCCTCAGGACAGTTTCTTTATTCAATGGCATTTTGATTATCGAATACTCTGTTATCTTCATGGTTATTTTCTTTATGTTTACATGAGCTACGAAGTCTTCCTCATGGAAAAATCATCCAGTAGCTTCCCATATACAAGTAAGTGACGTCAAGACGAACTTCCGGTTTTCTTGAAATCTTGAAGGCATTATTAGGTTTGCACCAAATTTGAGTTCTATTTCAAAATCTACGCAACAGTTTGAGTTAAACTTTGTATCGGTATGTAAACTCTTTATATAATATTGCACCTACATGCAAAATTTGAGAGTTTTAGCTTTCATTGATTTTTTACAATGCCCGTTCAAATGTGAAAATAAGCCCCTTTTCGTCCATTTATTGAAGAAAACAATATTTTGAAATAGGAATATGCCACACTTTCAGCTCTATAACTGAAGAGTATGAATAAAGAAAGCCGAGGTATTGTCGTGCCTGAGACGTCAAGGCAAAAAAGTATTTAATGTATAAAGTTTCTTATCAGCAGTGTATTGAAATTACTGATTCTCATTATTATCTATTTAAAACTTATCCCCACAGAAATAAATCCAAAATAAAAACTTACAGTTTATAACTTAACACTTTCTACCAGTAGCGGAGACCGGTGTCACGAAACTGAGGGTCCTTGTGACAGAAAGTCCGGCCTCCATAGCCTAAAGTTATAATGGTTAGAGTAAGTCTTACCTAAGTGGATCAAAATCTAGGGCGAGGCTCACCTGTACAAAGTAATGGGAGGCGGACTCTCTGTCACGGGGGACTTTCTGGTACATGAAACGGTGCTAGTTGGGCCCCGAGGTTAGTTGCCTCCTCGTCAATTTATGAAAAGTAACTACAAGAAAAAGAAACCACAGAAAAAAAGAGAAAAGCTCTCAGAGAGCGCAGACCTCCGCCAAGGCAGCAAAGTCTCCATCCAATGCCGTTTCACCCTAAATTTTCGATATTTTTGATTATTGATTGATTGTTGATCCGGAGCACCACCAAAAACTAATCATCTGTTCCTTGGCCCACTTCTGACAGTTCCTTAAAACATTCATCAAAATCGGTCCATAACTTAGTTTTTTGATTATTGATTTTTGATTTTTGATTGGTTATTGATCCGGATCACCACCAAAAACTAATCACTTCTAAGTTAACCCATATCTGACCTACGCTGAAAATTCCATCAAAATTCATCCTTAACTTTTTGAGTTATGTTGATGACAAAAAGACGACCAAACAAACAAACAGGGGTGAGGACATATCCTCCTTGGCGGAGGTAATAAAAACTTGCAGTATATTACTTAACAGCATTAACACTTTCTACCAGTAGCGGAGACCGAGGCTAGTTGGGCCCCGAGGTTAGTCAATTTATAAAAAGTAATAACAAGGTAAAAAAAATTAATCACATCATTTTGTGAAGTGATCCCACCGGTAGCTAATAATACCAAGAACGTTCGGACGTAAATAAAGTTTTACTTAAGCGGTGGGTCCAAACGAAAGATTTCCAAATCTAAAAGTTACTTTATTAAAAGATTCTTGTATTCAAATATAGTATATGTATAGGGCTTCAAAGTGAAGCTAATTGTTTCAAGTTTGACAGAAATGAACCGTAGTCCAATCAAGCACCAAAAATGGCTGCAATTCTTTAAAATAAAAATGTCATTAAAAATGAAGAAAAAAATCTCCTTTTTCCGCAATATATTCGTATTTCTTTCTTATTTGTCAATGCTTATTTTATTTTCTAACTTTTATTTCTACTCCTAGGCTTGGTGTAATTTCTTTTAAATCTCTTCCTCAGGCGACGCACGCCTACATGTTGCCCTGTTTAAAATATGTTCATAATACTACCTGTGGCGGCTGAGGTCATGTACATGTATGTTGTGGCAGTACTCCGTGCAAACACAGTGGGAGTCAATCGAATACCTGGTTGCAGGTCAAGCTAACGCCCAGACAGGTGAAATTTTAATGCAAGTTGACAAGAAGACTATCTATTGCTGGATTATTAAGTTACAGCACTTCCTACAAAGAATACACGACTAAAAGACAAAAAGGTTAGTTTACTTAGTTATATTTGATATCCTCTCGAGAGTTGGAATACGTGCAAGTTGTAAAATGCGTTATTTATAAAATTTGCCTGCACGATAGTGTTTCAAGCTGTTCATGGAGTGACAATGGACACAGAAGAACGTCAACACACCTTATAAAAAGCAAGTATCTTAACAAATCGTTATATTTGGGTATTAAGGGCGTCAGGTCGATAATCGGAATGCATTCTTGTTTTCATTTCTGAAAGGTATTAAGATATAGCAGGCCCGTACCCAGCAATCTCAAAAGGGGGGTTCTTTTTCTGAAAAAGTGGACATTTTACCATGAAACCTTCATGTACCTAGATCAAATTTTACCCAGGGTGGACCTTTTCCCAGCAAAAGGGGCGGCTCTTTCGAACCCCCCGAACCCCCCTGGCTACGGGCCTGGATAGCATCCTAATCACATCTAGTCCATAGGACGCGTTGACTTATACACCTGTACTCATTCGTATTCATAACGCAACATGTGCCTATCCCGTCATTTCAGAGTTCAAATGACATGGCGAAATTAATGATAATAACATAATTCATATTTTATTAATGTTATACTGACGTTAAATTAGGTGTGAGAAATAACCACTAATATGCCTACTATCAATATAGTCGGCCCAGCTCCATCTAATTGATACGACTCATTTTAATTTTAGATTATTTTCAGATTTTAAAATTGCCTTCCAGAGTTGAATTGAAGTGGCTGACATCAAGATTTGTGTGAGTGTAAGCGTGATCGTCTGCATCATCGTGGGAGAGTTGGTCAGTAGTTTGTGGTACCATTACCGTGCGCCGTGGTACCTCCTCACGGCGGTGATAGCAGATGCAGGACTGGTAGTGATACTGAAGTATATGACACAGTAAGTAGACCTTATATCATGCATGCCAACTCATAAGCTGTTATATTAAAGCACGTTTCTACCATAGAGTATCACACCTTGACCACATATTGGTTGTAAACATAGTCAAGTATGCCTTACGTAATATACCTAGCATTAGTTTAATTTAGAACTCAGCCTGTTTATTTACGAATTCCTTCTCATTACGACCCACTCTTGCCCTATCTATACTAAAATATTTAGCAATGAATTTATCGTCGAATTGTCAGCGCACTATGTTTTTTTTCTTTTTTTTTCCAGAAAATACTACCGAGTCCCTTATCGTGCATACGAGGCAGCGGCGTGGCTAGCTGGCGGCATTACTCTTCTGTTCGCGTGCCTGGAAGCCCCTCATGTCGTACATAACACTCACTCACTCATGGGACTTCACCTTCCACGAGCTTCACAAGTTCCTTCTTGTCTTCATTGTGTCGCTGGTGATGGACTACTGCGATAAGCACTTCTAGACCACTGTTCTTCAGGTTTTGTTATGTTAGCTAGGCTTTGATATGTCAGAATAGACAACACTGAGAGTCAATTTGCAAGTTAACATTTCTCGAGTAAATACTTTTATACAGCGGAAAATATGAGGTTGTCACAGTTAAATTTGATCTTACGTTGGACCTCTACAAATAAAAACGTCAAATTGCCAAATAACTGTTGGATCTCATTTAAATTCAGTGATTTTAGTGCTGTTTTATGGATACTGTGCGTATTGAATCTAATAGTACATAACGTCAAATAAAATAGTCAAGTAATTGTCCAGTTTATTTTTTCTTGCCATATTTATGTATCGAAATCTTTTAAAAATTGTCTTTAGCGTAAAATTATGATACTCTTCTGAAATCATCAGTATCCTTGTAGGCCAAGCAGCATCAAAATTTTTCCAAATCGCCGACGGATCTGACACATTTTTAATGCCGATGTAATGCTTTATTTACGAATTTCAGGATGGATACCTTTTTAAAACAAATCTTTGAAATCAAATTAAATCAAGTATCTGTGAAAAATATTTACAAAAATATACACATATACATAAATGTAGACACAAAACAGGATAAATTGTTGCAACAAAAATTTGAGGGTGAAAAAATTAAGGCTTAAAAATAAACAGATAAATCTTGAAAATCTACGAGTTTACGTCCGCTGGTGTTTTACAAGGACACTGACCAATGCCCAGTCACCGACTTATCAATCATGTCGCTTGGCGTACTGTTTCTTTGGGCCTTGGTTATGGGTCCAAAATTTGGCTGAATGGAAATGATACAGGTTCATTCACATTAGGTCGACCTCTATCGCCAGTTACACATCATAAATGTTATCCGCCTCTCATAAATTTTCCACCAGCATTATCGTGGCTTCCAAGAGCAGATGAATTTTAAGGCGTCCTTAGGCTCTCGTCGTATTTTGCCAGCATTGGACAACATTTAGTGGTCCGCAAAGATTAGTTATCCGTAGATGTTTAGAAATTAACTTGAAAAAATCCCAGAGGATTTTGCATAAAAACACAATGTTTACACTTTACTCAAAGAAGAAGCCGTGGTGGTCAATGATGGTTTGGACAACAGCCTGGAGTGAACCCGCGCTAGACGCCATGTCGGTCAAAGAGGCGAACTCTGGCCGTAGTAGTGTTGGCCACCAGCAAATGGCAAGATTGGTACTGGTCATACAGTTAACATCACTGAGTGTTGTCACTCTGAAAAGAAAACACCAACCAAATTAAGGAAGAAAAATGTAATGAAGTTTGATAATCATATTTTATGAGGATATAAGATATAAGGTATTCGCTATTTGCTTCAAAATTTTGATTAAAAATTTTAGCTTAAAAGCAAGTTTTATATTGCCCTCTGTCCTGTATATGTTATGTCTTTATCATTTTGCCTTTAATAATGGAAAACCAATTTAGAAAATGAATTTGAAAACAATTTGAGGACTCAGTTAAATTCATTGAAATACTGCAAGCAAGACTGTAAAATACTAGATCATAACTTACTTGTTCAAATGTGTGGCGATAAATTTAAGCACGCGGTAGTTGCCAGCAGGAAGCTTCTGGAGCACTTCTCTCAGAGCTTGAAGGCGACGTGTTTTATCATGGATACCTGAAGAATGAAAATCATGCCTCAAACGTCTGTAAAAGTGAGGTCAGCAAATCTCTAAATAACTTACCCTTAAATCTGGAATTTCACGTATAGAAATTCACACAAAATGCATTTGTAACATGCATCCATATGAAAGAAACCGATTTAAAAAATGAGAAGTAAAAGGCGCCTTAAGTTCTGCTGTAGTATCTTACCTGCTGCACTTATAAATTCGTTATTAAGTTTGTTAGGGATCAGTGGCTCTTGCAGCTCACGGAAGAAAGTTTTCACAGCTGTCGCCACATCGTTGACAGAGATTTCCAAATCAGTGAAAACCAAAGTATGATCTGTAAAACAAAATTTGGGGCTAAAAGTCAAAATACAGTCATACCCCATGTGAAAATAGTCGAAACATTTCTCTCAAGTTTAAATCTTTATTTCTATATTTTATGTTGTATCTATTGTGTGTCCTTTCCTGTGACGCGAATCTTGAGTTAAGAATTAAGGTAAGAAAAAATAGCTGTCTCGGTTAATAAGGCAAATTAACAGATATTAAGATTCAGAAGATTGATAATTTAGCAGAAAATATATGAAAAAGAAACTTGAATCGTATCATAGTTTAGTAAACCTTTATAGCAGGAATTCTATACATATTTAATTCCTAGAAATTGAAATAATAAAAAATCACAACCGTACACTGGTTAACTCACCTTCATTAAATTTCTGCAGCAGTAATTCTACATGAGCTTTATTTCCAGGTACTCTGTACAGTCCTTCTGAACCGAGACCATTCTCTTCAATATACACAATGCACTTCTCTACGAACATGGGAAGAATTGCATCACCTTGTAAATAATCGTCCAAGGACATTTTCATGGCGGTCTTTCCGCTAGGAGCATTTTTTGGCCTCTTCCTAAATAACTTGGATCTAACGTAGGCCACTGCTCGTGCAATCCTTTGACGCGTATTCCTAGTTTGAAACAAATAAGATAATCCGCAAGACATCTTTAGTTGCTATATCTCCAACTTGTCGTGAAGGGTAACCAAAGTTAGTTTTTGACGTCATAAAGTTTCATTTTGACGTCACAGTCAATTTTCAAGTTTTAATTAAGTAGACGACACGTTATGTACCGGACGTCACAATGGCTTTTATTAACACAGAAAGAACATCTATTGTTAACATTTGCAATAGATTTATACTTATGTACTAGCAGTTTAAAATTGAGTGGATTATAAAACTCCCCAAGCTTATAAGTTTTGCATTGATAATCTTTGCAAAACTATGTTACATTTGATACAAAAAGGCGTCCAGATACATAATTTCGGAATTAAGTAGCCCACTGGCTTCTTTCAGACTGCCGCAAACCAGTCCAGTTGACAGTAATATGTTTAAAATCCGATTGGAGCAAACTTCATATTAAATGAGAAACAAATCATTAAATAATGACTTCGCGTTTATCCTGAAATAATAAGAATGAGACGGGACGGGACTAAAACCACGTGTCCCGCCAGCGCCGCGCAGGTGGTACAATAAAGTACATTATAATCCACATAATTTGTATTTGTCAAAATAATGTTTTTTTTTGTTATTAACTCACAAGAAGTACATATGATGGAGTGAATCTGTCCCAACTCCATGTTTTTATATTAACCCTAGAGAGCAATATCTTTTCAATAAATTTATTTTTCAATTTATTTACAAATATGAAGTGAAACGGATTTACATAAAATTCATGTACATGTTTATACATCATATAGTACCCATGTACTACTAATGTGTATAG